CTGTCTATCTGTCTCTCTGTCTCCATTCATCATCTATCTAACATCTATCTATCCTATCTATCTATCTATCTATCTATCTATCTATCCATCCATCTATCCATCCATCCATCCTCCATCCATACATCCATCCATCCATCCATCTCTCCATCCATCCATCACCCCATCTCTCCATCCATCCATCTATCTATCTCCCCATCCCTTCATCCATCCATACATCCATCCATCCTCTATCTTCCCATCTCTCCATCCATCCATCCATCTATCTACGTACCCATGTCTCCATCCATCCATCTTTATGTGTCTTAGGCATCCATCCCCCATCCATTCCTCATCCCCCCATCTCATCTGCCATCCATCCATGTATTCACCCATATGTCCGTCTGTCTGCCTGTCCGCCCGCCCATCCATCCATCCATCCATTCATCCAATCTATTCATCTCTCTCTCTCTCTCTCACTCCCTCCCTCCCTCCCTCCATCTATCCATCCCTCCAACCATCCATCTATCTATCTATCCATCCATCTCTCTATCCATCCATCTGTACATCTATCCATCTATCTATCCATCTATCCATTCATCCTTCCATTCATCCATCCATCAATCTATGTATCCATCCATCCATTCGTCCATCTGTCTATCCGCCCATCTGTCCATCCATCCATGCATCCATCTAATAATTAGTTGAACAACCCAATATAGATGTTTGCCTTTATGATACCAATGCATGTACCATATATTTACGCTTGCAAAAGACACAAATCTCCTTGCATATTGACATTAACAAAAACATGTTTCTTTGCCACTATGATAAACATGAGCTATGGTTGCAGTGGGGCAGCCTTTATCAGGGTGATAATGTATATGTTTACCATCATCCACAGCCAGATAATGGGCATATTAGTTCTATTCTTCAACATCAGCTGCATCACCATCATTACCATCTTTGTTGGCAGTCAACAGTCCATTAAGACAAATGTCCCTGCTTTAATATGTGACCTTATAATGTGTGTTTGTGGCGAGGAGGAGTTGTCTTATTTTTTTTAATTTCTTCACATTAACTTTGAACATACCCCTTAATTGCTCAGACCTGTCTCCTGAACGCTGAACACTCCTTGTTTCTGCAACCGCAGCTGAAATCTCAAATGGCTTAAACATTATTTATTGCCTTTTATGACCCATTGGCAAGTCTCCCTTGAATTCAGCTTTCACGGACATACTATCCGCATCTGAAATCTGGTGTTTGGCTCAGCTTCAAGCTTGCAAAGGCTTGTTGTCTTAGCCAGTTTTGTAGATAATTATGAGATATGAAAAGGCAAAGGGATTCGGTGTCGTCGTCATCCCCTCCTCAAATGCGCTGGCCTGGAACCAAGTTGTTCACCTCACAGTCAATGAATAAATGTATGGATAAGTCAGATTAATTTATGGAGTGGGGCTACCGTCTTGTTTTGGGTAGAACGTGTGTCACTGAATGAAAATGGCAGCGGTGGTTGTGTGTTTTGGGGGAATTGTTACTTTGTGGCAGACGTGGGCAAACTTTGGCCCTCCAGGTGTTTTAGAGTTCAACTCCCACAATTTCCTACCGGCTGTTGGGAATTATGGGAGTTGAAGTCCAAAACACCTGGAGGGCAAAGTTTGCCCATGCTTGCTTTGGCTATCTCCAAATTTTGAGCATTGCAGGGACTGAGACGCTGGAAATGGTTCACACTTGGGACTCTTTAACAATTACTGCATACACCTTCCTTCATCCACTTTACCTGGCTTTTCTTTGGATGCTTAAACTGTCTTTCTGAGGCTGGATCTGAACTGCTATAAAATCCAGTTTCAGACTGCTGTGGACTGTATAATATGGGTCTACACAAGGCATGGGCAAACTTCTATGGTGGGTGTAGATCCAGTGATATTCAAGGTAGGCAACCTGTGATCTTCCAAATGTTGGTAGGCTCAAGTACCCATCAATCCCAACTACCATGGTCAGTTGTTAATGGGAGTTGCAGTCTATCATTTGGGAGACAGATAACCTTTCTATCCCAATCATCTATATAAATAAAAATGTAATGTTCGTTTGTGGGATTAACAGAACTCAAAAACCACTGGACGAATTGACACCAAATTTGGACACAAGACACCTAACAACCCAATGTATGTCCTTCACTCAAAAAATTTTTTTTTGATTTTGTCATTTGGGAGTTGTAGTTGCTGGGATTTATAGTTCACCTACAATCAAAGAACATTCTGAACCCCACCAAAGATGGAATTGAACCAGACTTGGCACACAATTCTCCCATGACCAACAGAAAATACTGGAAGGGTTTGGTGGGCAGTGTCCTTTGGCTTTGGAGTTGTAGTCCACCCACATCCAGAGAGCACTGTGGACTCAAACAATGATGGATCTGGACCAAACTCTACAATAATACTCAATATGCCCAAATGTGAACACTGGTGGAGTTTGGGGAAAATAGAATCTTGACATTTGGGAGTTGTAGTTGCTGGGATTTATAGTTCACCTAAAATCACAGAGCATTCTGAACCCCACAAACGATAGAATTGGGCCAAACCTCCCACACAGAACCCCCATGTGGGCCACAGCAACGCGTGGCAGGGGACTGCTAGTATATGATTGGGATCGAAATGGAAAACTTTTATATCCCGATCTTCTCTACCTCCGTACAGGGATTCAGACCGGCTGACAGCAAAAATTCAATGCTAACAGTAAAAATCTAAAACAACATATATCACCAGTAAATTAACAAATACATATAAAATAAATGCATAAAAGCTGTTCGCCAAGATAAAAACATGTCCAACTCAGTCTGTATATTCAATCCATGTATTGTGTATTACTGGTCTCATCCATCATTCTGCAAAGGCCTCGCTCCACAGCCAGGTTTTCACTAGCTTCCTAAAGGTCAGGAGGGAGGGGGCAGATCTAATTTCATTCGGGAGGGAATTCCATAGCCGGGGGGCCACCACAGAAAAGGCCCTGTCTCTCACCACCAGACGCGACTGCGAATGTGGCGGGACCGAGAGCAGGGCCTCTCCAGACGATCTTAATACTCTTGATGGTTCATAGGGGAGAATACGTTCAGACAGGTAAACAGGTAAACCCTTGTGCCGGCTGAACTGCTGATCTGAAGGTCGGTGGTTCAAATCTGTGAGACCAGGTGAGCTCCCGTCTGTCAGCTCCAGCTTCCCATGCGGGCACATGAGAGAAGCCTCCCATATGAACATATCTGGGCATCCTCTGGGCAATGTCTTTGCAGATGGCCAATTCTCTCACACCAGAAGCGACCTGCAGTTTCTAAAGTTGCTCTTGACACTAGAGAGAGAAAGAAAGAGAGAAAGAGAGTATAAAGACACTAGATAGAGAAAGAAATAGAGAGAGTATGAAAGGTCCATGCGTAAAGCTGTGTATTATGTAAATCAAATTAGATGGAATAGTAGTCGCTAACAATTATCTCTAATATGAAATGAAACCAATTTCTGTGGCCGTTGCTAATCGCTTCCACCTCTGTCCTTCTAATCCAGGCTGAGGATGAGTCTGTCTTGTGCGCCTTTGAGTTGTTTATGTTTTACGGCAAATCTATTACGGGGTTTTCATGGCAAGATTTGTTCAGAGGAGATTGTCATTGCCTTCTTCTGAAGCTGAAAGCTTCAGTGGGTTTCCACAGACAAGTGGGAATTTGAACCCAAAGTCCTAATCCTGTGCTCAAACCAATGCACTATGTTGGCTCTTGGAATAATGAAAGGGATCCTCCTTTCACCAAAGGACTGGATTGAATGTCATAAAATTTCTGAAAATGAGGCCTGGGTGTGCATAAGGACACCAATACATTTTGTCTAAACATAGAATCATAGAATCTTTGAGTTGGAAGAGGCCTCGTGGGCCATCCAGTCCCACCCCCTGCCAAGAAGCAAGAAAATTGCATTCAAAGCACCCCTGACAGATGGCCATCCAGCTTTCATTTAAAAGCCTCAAAGAAGGAGCCTCCACCACACTCTGGGCAGAGAGTTCCACTGCTGAACAGTGAACAGTTCTCACAGTTCTATCTAATGTTCAGGTGGAATCTCCTTTTCTGTAGTTTGAAGCAGAAAACAAGCTTTCTCCCTCCTCCCTATAAGTTCCCCTCACATATTTATACATGACCTTCATCATGTCTCCTCTCAGCCTTCCCTTTTGCAGGCTAAACATGCCTAGCTCTTTAAGCCGCTCCTCATAGGGCTTGTTCTCCAGATCCTTGGATATAAATATGTATATAAATACAATAGAGTCTCGCTTACCCAACATAAACGGGCCAGCAAAACGTTGGATAAGCGAAAATGTTGGATAATAAGGAGGGATTAAGGAAAAGCCTATTAAATGTCAAATTATGTTATGACTTTGCAAACTGAGCACCAAAACATCATGTTTCACAACAAATCGACAGTTCAATACACAGTAACGTTATGTAGTAATTATTGTGTTTAAGAATTTAGCACCAAAACATCGCAATGTATCAAAACAGCTGTGGATCCGGTCGAAAGACAGACTGCATTGGATAATACAGAATGTTTGATGAGTGAAGGTTGGATAAGCGAGACTCTACTGTATATCAATATATAAATTAATGTCAGTTATTAGAAGAATTTAAATAATTTTGTACACTATACAAAAAGTTAGAAAACCACTCAAACTATCATGGAAAAGGGTGCCCAAAATGGTTCCCTGTAGAAACCCTGAGGGCTACCTTGGGCCAGATCCATTCCTAGATCCCGAGGTTCCCCAGATGGGTCTGAGATCTCTCACTCTAGGATGGTGTTTCCCAAACTCTGGTCTTCCCGGTGTTTTGGACTTCAGCTCCCAGAATCCTTGATAATTTCCCAAGGCAATTGAGGCTTCTGGGAGCTGAAGTCCAACAACATCTGCAAGAGTAGTATCTCTGCTCTAGAACCTAAAAAGGATTTCTGAAGGCGTCGCCTAGAACATGGTGCCATGAAATTCATAACAGCTTCCTCTTTTCCTAGGCTCCACTTCAGGAGAGTTTCTACCCTTTGCTCCATTCCAAGTCAAGCAGGGAGAAGGCTTGGCAGCTCTCTCGACATTCATCACACGCTTCCTCTCCATCTCCTTAAATCCAGGTGGATCTGCCTGTGATGTCGGACGACGCTGAGAAGAATGAGGCTCCTCCTGGAGCGGCCAAAGAGCCGGAAGGGCCAGGGAAGGAGGAGCCGGAGCAAGACAAAGCTAAGGAGATGGAGCCAGAGCCCAAACCAGAACCAGAACCGGAGCCGGTGAAACCGCAGGATGAGCCGCAGCCCCAGCCTCAGAGTCCCAAGGCTCCCGAGATCCCTGCATCTCCTGTGATGGTGACGGTGACCATCGAGGAAGAGACGGTTGAGGGCCCACAGGAGAATGGAGATCCTCCTGGCATCAGAGCTGGTTCGGCCGAGGAGCTGGGGACCACCCCGGCAGGACCCACCAGCCCTCCGACCCGCTCCAAATCTGCATCGCTGAATGACCTGAAGCCCCAGAACAGCCTCAACGGTGGTCCAAGGGTTGCGGTGAGGGGCAGCTTGTCTGGATCTCAAGTGCATCTAGCAGGACACGCCGGATCTCCGAGGGCCAGCCTGAGCCGGCAGGCTTCGGCAACAGGGTCAGCGGCCGGTGAGGCCGGGGAGAAACCCAGAGACTATATATTCATTGCTGCCCTCTCCTGCTTCTGCCCCATCTGGCCCATCAACATTGTGGCTTTTGTGTACTCTGTCATGGTAAGTACAAAGCAAGTGATGGAGAAGAAGAGTCCAAATGAAAGAGAGGACAGGCATCCACTTTACTGTCTTGCCCGGGACACTTCAGTTAATCGGTGGGTTGATGTAGGTTTTTTGGGCTGTATGGCCATGTTCTAGAAGCATTATCTCCTGACGTTTCACCTGCATCTGTGGCAAGCGTCCTCAGATGTTGTAGGATCCTTTGCTCTACTTTTTCAGTTCCAATGTCTCTTCACTCCTTTTACTTTCCTTATTAATCTAATTAGGTCAGCTACTGCAAATATAGAGCCCTTCCTCACAGCCCTATATCCCAGAATATCAAGGCAGAAAATCCCACAATATCTGCTTTGCTCTGGTTTATCTGGGTCCACACTCAGATAATGTGGTATTTTCTGCCTTGATATTCTGGAATATAGGGCTGTCTGGAAGGGCCCTGGAATATGTGGCACTCTGGACACAGATAACCCAGTTCAGATATTGCGGGTTATTATGCCTTGATATTCTGGGTTATATGGCTGTGTGGAAGAGCCTTGAGGGCCCTTCCAGATAGCCCTTTATCCCTGGATCTGATACCAGGTTTTCTGCTTTAAACTGGATTATATGAGTCTGCACTGCCAGATAATCTGGGATCAACAGAAAAGCTGGGATCAGAACCAGGGTCTGGAATGTCCCTGGTTCTGTAAACTAAGGGATCTTCTACACTGCTATATAATCCAGAATATCAACACAGATAATCCACATTATCTGCTTTGAACTATATTATCTGAGTCTACACTGCCATATAATCCAGTTCAAAGTAGATAATCTGGATTTTATTCAGATGTGTAGAAGAGGCCTAAATATGCTGCGGATTGTAAAGCTTAGGATAACTAATGTTTAGCACTTCAATTCCTAGAATCTCCCAGTCAACATGGAAGAGGTCAAAACTATAACCCGAAAAATTAACTTTCTCAAGGTTTAGGGGTTTATACCTTGGGCTTTTTTCCTGTCGAGCTTCCATGTTAAGCTACACCTTCCCTCAACTGACTTGCTTATTTGTTTGTAGCAGTGGTTCCCAACCTGCGATCTGCAAGAACTAAAATATGGTCCTCAGCCTCTCAGTTACTACACTGTTGCAACGAGAGTGACTGGTGTCGCAAAACCCTCTTATAGTGTCGAGGCTTATTAAATATGGTTTTCTATGAGAGAGCAGACTACTAGATGGCATATTGCTGTATCAGAAACTAGAACTGATGTGGTCTATCCAATGCAATTTTCTGAATCAGCCCCCAAATAACCAAACCAAATCTAAAGTTGACCAAAAACTGATTTGTAATCCTTTTGGTACTAATGTTGGAAAGTGGTCCCTGGTCAAAGTGGTCCCTGGTGAAAAAAAGGTTATGAACTACTGGTTTATAGTCTATGCAAGCAGTCCCTGAGTTACAAACATCCAACTTACAAATGACTCATGGTTAAGAACGAGGGTGAGACAACAAGAGGTGAGCAAAACCTACTCCTAGGAAGGGAAATTTACTCCTGAAAGAGTTATTTTCATGGGGAAAAGGGGTCTCCACTGAAACTTTATCCCCAATCCTTGTTTCCACAACAAGCTACATTTTTCAAATGTGATAACTGTCCCTGTGATAACTGTCCCAAGTTATCACAGGGACAGAAAATGGGGTGAAATCTTCTGAACAGAGGCACAGACAGCACAACACTTTTTGAATATTTATTGAAATCTTTCTGTCTGTCTGTTGCCAATTTCTTCCTGTGTCGATGAATGCAGACTTTTTTCTTATCCCTTTATATTCTTCCTATTGCTCCTAAAAAGGATGCTGTCCATTGGGACAATGACCTGATGCTCTCCACTCCTTTTCTCTTTCTGCCTCCTTTCTGTCAGTCCCGCAACAGCTTCCAGCAAGGAGACATTGATGGCGCACGGCGCCTGGGACGGGTAGCGAAGCTGCTGAGTGTCGTTGCGCTGGTCGGCGGTGTGCTTATCATTGTGGCCTCTTGTGCCATCAACTTTGGAGGTGAGTATCTAGGGCACCAAAGCTTGACGGGACGACCAGAATCCACGTTCATTTCGGTTGCAAACCCCTTGACTAGCACAAAAGAAGAATGCAATCCGAGACATGCATTTAAATCTAAAAATATCTTTCTTGTCCTTTGGCATATTGTTTTACACTTACAAAGGTTTTTTTGAGAGTAGGTGATCAAATCTCAATCCTTAGATCCTGATGAGTGAGGAAACCCTATGCTTTCCCCACATAAAATAAAGCAACAGTTGTCTTCATCATGACTTCATCCCTATTTCTTCCTGACCTTCTCATGAAGGTGTTGTTCTAGCTCAGGCATAGACAAACTCCAGGTGTTTTGGACTTCAACTCCCACAATTCCTAACAGCCTCAGGCCCTTTCCTTTCCCCCCTCACCCACATAAGTGCTAAAGGGGAAAAGGAAGTGTTAGGAATAGCTTTTCAATAACTTCAAAGCATAGGTTCTTGTATTGCAATTTTCCAGTAAGAGAAAGGGTATCAGATTACAGATAACATTTAGACAAAGAACTGCATAATATTAATATTAATAATAATAATAATCTTTATTTGCACCCCGCCACAATCTCCCCAATGGGGACTCGGGGCGGCTTACATGAGGCCAAGCCCAACAATGCAATACAATAAATGAAATCAAAACATAAACAACATAATCAATTACATAAAACATAAACTATAAGAATACAACAAACAGTATAAAATTACATTAAAAATCAGTCATAACACAGAACAATGAGTGGGCCGCATATACAGAATAAAATACTAAAGGTAAAAACGGGGTGAGATAGCAGTGGAGCAGATTATTTGTGAGGGAGAAACTCTTCAGAGATGGGGTCGAAAAAGGGACCTTTTTGCAGAGGGGAAGGAGGTGTGCAGTAAAGACAAATACTGAGAGTTAATGGCAATATGAGATTATATGGTTAATCTCCAAAAGCGCAGTGGAAGAGTCAGGTTTTGAGATTCTTCTTAAAACTTTCTAAAGTGGGGGCTCACCTAATCTCACTGGGCAATGTATTCTATAGTCGGGGAGCCACTGAGGAAAAGGCTCTCTCCCTTGTTCCCACAAGGAAGGACTGAGATAATGGTAAGGGTGAAAGGAGAGCCTCCCCCAAGGATCAGAGGGATCAGGCAGGTTCATGGAGGGAGGGACATACAGACATAAAGATTGCATTGGACATACAGACATAAATATTCTATGTACATTGGATTCATAAACCTCCTACAGTTACATTGGTTAACAAACAAACAAAAAAGGGAATTACATTTTCACTCAGCATTCACTCACATGGAAACATTCATTCATCATCATGCATACATCACCATTTCACCATTCCTCTGCTGTGAAGAACATCTTTTAGGCCAGACTGCTTCCTTGCAAATCTGCCAATGCATAGTTCCATAACTTCCAGAATGCCCAAATGCCAATGTTAGGGACCCCCAATTCAGGGTCCCCGCATTGGGTCCAGTAGTAGGAGGCAGCAAGACAAACACCCAGTCTCAGGAGAAGTACAAAAGCAAGGTTTATTTCGTCATGCTCATGAGACGGCCAGCCATACCAAACACGCAGGTCTTGGTACTTTCAAGAGGCTGCCGTGTCCAGTATCTCTTCAGACTCACATTATATAGACAAGACTATTTGGCACTGCAGCAAAAGTTATCCAATTACAAACTACTACCTAGCACATTGACTAACTAACTTCTCTAATTCCTTACTTGGCACATTGACTATCTGACTTCTTTTAAATCACATGTTTTCTTGACAATGGAAAGTACAAGACACAAATAGCTCTTACCCCCATATATGGCAATAGACACTTTGTCAGCTTTTTAGCCTTCTGCCTGAACTATCTTGTGAAAGTTGTTGATTGCACATGTTTCTTAGGTACTAACCACAAATGTTCCAGACAAGATGAACCCTTAGTGGAAGCTAATTTCTAAATACAGAGGGGGTACATTTTTAACTTTGATTTCTCTAGTTTCATGATTATTGCCCTATCACCAAAACACCAAAATACATCCTTTCCCTAAGCACAAAGCCAAATATCAGATCTCTGTTTTCCATAAAGCAGAACCTCACTTTCCTGCACAAAATCCAAGACTCCAAAAACACACTCCTTCCTCTTCCCTTGAGAAAAGGAGCAAGTGCTCGGAATCCTGCTTTCCCATTACAGATCAGACACTCCCAAAGTAAACCATCTCCATAGAGTATGGCGGGTGAACAGGTCTGCTGTCTGTCACAATTTCTGAAATGTTAGAAGATCTCTTATATAGTAATATTTCTGCTGATGTTGTTCCAAAGTTGTAAATTAATAATAGACGTCTTCTAACCTGAAAAATCCTGACTCCATTTCCTGGCAGATCTTGACTCTTCTTGATGGGTGTTAGCAACAACGTAAGCCTTGTGTTGACGTCCTTCGTAACGTAAGGAAATCTTGTAAACACGTTTCCGCCCCAAAAGTTCAACAGTTAATCGTTGTCACAGTTCTTATCAATGTCAGCAGTTTATTATGGCAGGTTAATCATTTCAGTTCTCATTAGCAGGTTTTAATTATAGTTCCAGAAAGCAGGTAGTTAATGATTTTGTCATTGCAGACCTTAATCTTTAGGATGGTATCTTTAGCCAGATAAGGCCCCATCCATTCATTCAATTCATATAATTCTATTCTTTTCCCACACATATCAAATCCACTTTTTTCAAATCTGCACATTATATTTCTTGTGACAGAAGGAGCCCGAGGCTGTTAGGAATTGTGGGAGTTGAAGTCTAAAACACCTGGAAGGCCAAAGTTTGCCCATTTGTGATGTAGATGCGCTATACAGTGTTGCTTATGCCTCACTAGAGGAGCACCAGCAGTTCAAAATTGCGTATTACCTCGTTGCTTCTCCTCTCCAGAGTTGCAGGCAGGATTTCCGAGCACCGACTAAACCAGGGATGGACAAACTTAAATGGCTGAGAGGGGAAAGGAAGGGGCCTGAGACTGTTAGGAATTGTGGGACTTGAAGTCCAAAACACCTGGAGGGCCCAAGTTTGTCCATGTCTGCTCTAGCTTCTTGAACTACTTACATCTACCTCTTTTTCTAGACTTTTTTTTAAAAAGTTATTTTTCATTTAGACCCTTTCTATATTATCATATAAAAATCCAGATGATCTGCTTCGTACTGGATTATATGGCAGTGTAGTCTCATATAATCCACATCAAAGCAGAGAAGATGGATTATCTACTTTGATAATCTGGATTATATGGCAGTGTAGAAGGGACCGCAGGACACCCCTTCCCTTCATCATAGCTGTTCCCTTGAGTTCAACATTATGGTGTACTTCTTATAGGGCATTGGTTCCCAACCTTTGGGACTCCAGGTGCTTTGGACTTCAACTCCCAGAAATCTCAGCCAGTTTACTATTATGAACTGAGGGAGCCGAAGTCCAAAACACCTAGAGGCCCAATGGTTGGGAACCACTGTTATAGGGTTAGGTTGGCCTACAGCCGTCAACCTGAACTTTGGCTCTAAATCTGTGTAGTAGTCCAGCTTCATAACTAGCATCTTCTTCTCAGAAGCCTTTCTCATTCATAACTTTCCCTCTTCTTATTGCTGGAATTAGGCTGAAGAGGTATTACCCCAGACCTTTCCCTGATCAACCTCCATGTTGTTTCCCCCCAAATAACCTGTTCCCACATGCTCCAGATTCCAGTGGAAGCCCGTTATGGAGATGTTGAATTGGGGCATGTGTGAAAGTGTTCCTCCATGTGTTTCTTTCCAGGTTATTGAAATGTTCCTTTCTCTGTCCTCCTTCCTTCCCCATGTTCTTCTTCCTCCCCATTCAACTGTCCCCGCCCTTGACCCCCGTTGACCCTCAACCTCTCTCCCTCCCAGTGTTCCAGTGAATGCGGCATTTGGCTGGCACTTCCTCCCAACCACCGACATGTTCCATCTTTGGAGCTGGGAGCCAGCATGACTACAGTCCATCCATCCCATCCCATCCCATGACTCCATCCCTCCCTCAACCATGCAAAGGAGCACAAGGATGGAGACCACAGAGGGACAGAGAGAGGCAGAAAGAGAGAGAAATGAAGAAATGGGGACACGAGGTCACGAGACCGAGAGAGGCAACATCTTATCATTTCCTCCTCCAAATTTTGAATGCCCATAATGAGCAGAAAGAAAAGATCAGATTTTTGGAAATGGGTAAGAGGGGAGGAATCGACCCTATCTTTCTACGTTCTCTCTCTTTCTTTCTCTCGTTTTTTTTCTTCCATCCATCCCGCTGCCTATTCAACCAATGACCCATCTGCCCATCTTCCATCCACTGCCAAATTTCGACAGCAAATAAAACTCTTTCGATATTCCATGTTTACAAGAAGCTGCCGGAGAAAAATACAAAAGCTCTTTTCCCCAATCCTCTACAAAGGAGGCGGGGGAGCATGTTTACATGTTTGCTGGCAAGAATACGAACAGAACCAGCGCAAGAAGAGAGGAACCACTTCTTACGTCTCTTGCCCTCGTCAGTCGTGTTTACAAAAGACACCAAATAGGATGAGAAAGGACCGAGGGAGCCGGTGCCATTGGTCAGGATGTGAGCTGGATGTGGTGGAGTGGGAGTTTGTAGCAAAGTATTGTGTAGAAGGAGGTGCTGACAACAAGGTGGTGTGACCCAAGCAGAGTTGGTGGCATACAATTAAGGACCATGAGGGATGGCTTGTACTAACAAATCTCTTGCCAAACCCATTGGTGGAAAAGGAATGACACAAAATATATCTTATTGGCTGAAGACAGCAATGAAATTAGTGTTAACAGATGAAATAATGTAAACAAACGGAACTGGGAAAACTTGCAGCAAGGAAGTGGGCTTGAATAGGAAGCAACAGATGCAGAAGACTGAAATAATCAACCCAAGAGACTTGGAAAGAAGGAAGCTTATTGGAGAGAGGTGAAGAGTTTTGAGAATAGGTGGCATTACTCTCAACTCAAAGGGACAAGTGCCAAAAAAGAAACAAGTTGGTGTGGGAAGAAGCTTAAGAAGAAAGCCAAAAGAGGAAAGGAAAATAGAAGAACAGACACTGCGACAACTGGAAGACATTGAAATGATGAGAGAGATGCACTAGAGTCCAAACAGAGAGAGTTAAGAAACTATTCAAGAGAAAGTGTGCATAGAGGGAACAGGCTAAAATTGGATTGGAAGACTAGCTACAACTGGAAAAGCATGGCTATTTGATTTGCATTGATTTTGTCAACAGACAGGGTGAAGTAATGCTCATATAGGTTTATAAATGCAAGTTATATACAATAGAGTCTCGCTTATCCAACATAAATGGGCCAGCAGAACGTTGGATGATCGAAAATGTTGGATAATAAGGACGGATTAAGGAAAAGCCTATTAAACATCAAATTATGTTATGATTCTACAAATTAAGCACCAAAACGTCATATTATACAACAAATTGACAGAAAAAGCAATTTAATACATGATAATGTTATGTAGTAATTACTGTACTTATTTTGGACCAAAACAGACAAGGTTTCTTTCTTTCTCCCCATCTGGACATTATTCCGGGCGGAAGGCAGACTGCGTTGGATAACACAGAATGTTGGATGAGCGAAGGTTGGATAAGCGAGACTCTATTTTGACAATCCTGCAAATATAAGGAAAGATGAATCTCAACTGAAGATAATGTTTGAGAACTGAATGCTTGAGGCTGATGGGACGTTGGCATGGAGGGAATTCAGGGAGCAAGGGGACAAACTGGGAACAGTGGAAAGACACTGTAGATGCCGTTGGGATGGTGTCCAAGAAGAATGGGAATCATGTGACCCCACAAGTGCTGTCAAACTGCAATTCCCAGTATTCTTATTGTGGATTGTCGGGACTTTTGGTCCAACAACATCTGGAGAGCCACACAATTTCCATCCCTGGTGTAAAAGATTGATACCTTTTATTTGATTTAGCTGGTTGGCTGAAGAAATGCAGCCCCAGTTCGTTCTGGCACAGAGAAGGAAGGAAGCCAGAAGACTATTAAATAGCAAAAAGAGTGAGGAAGTAATTAATTATGTGTATATGTAATAAATAAATATTAAGAAGATACTCTAGATCTACCAAGCAGTCAATATCTCCTATATTATAAATACAATGTCTATACAATTTTCCAGCAATAGATGTGAAGGTCTGTTGGGAATGAATCTTTAACTAAAGGAAGATTGATCATTAGAGATATAAATAAATCTTCAATAAAAGATTTATTTATGGGCATGTTTTTACATTGTTGGTTTCTCCAGTGGCCAACATTAACTTTCTTTGAGTATTCTAAAAGACTAATATAATGTGATTTTCCTGCTTCTTGGGAGGGGGTTGGATTAGATGGCACATGAGGTCTCTTCCAACTCTATGATTCTAGTTCTTCCCACCAGACAAACACATCCATTAATAAAAATGCCTCTTGCTTGCACCACTTGACTGTTTGGTAGATCTACTACAACTTTTGAAATTTTAGTATATATACACTTATATATTAATTTATTTCCTGCCTCTGTTCCTTTAACATAGGATCATATTTGAAAGGCAGAAAATACAGTGAAGGGAGGATTGGAAAACACCAAGATGGAGAGCAGAATACTTTATGCCAATTATGTGTTGCGTCTGGAGGTAGCACAAACCCATTGAAAATCCACGTTGTTTTTCCTGATTCACTTCCATCAACTTAAACAGGCCTACTCTTGGCTCAAATCTCTAAGAATTAGAGCCAGAGTCGACAACTGTAGTAGTCCAAGTGTTGTTGAAACTGCAACTACTTTTGTCCTTGACCATTGGCTATACTGAGACTGATGGGAATTGCAGTCCAACAGACATGTTGAAAGACCACAGCTTTTTACCCTTGAATTAGCAAATCAGAAATAAGACAGAGACCAAAGAATATCTCAATTAGAAGGCATAACAGCTAGAAAACCAGCCACAGTGTGTATGCCATATGTATTGTGAAAGTGTGACATCAAGGAGAATAATTGCCATGTATATGTATTGAAATATTAGGGGTTTGTGAGATAATAGTTCCCAGAACCCTGCAGTTATTGTTGCTACCAACGCCTTGGAAACAACAAGAGTGAGGAAGGACTAGACAGAGGAATCCATATGTCGTCATTTCCTTGAGTTGACAGAACACAACAAAATGCAATATTTAGTATAGGGCCATCAAAGCTGTTGAATGTGATCTGAAATTCAGCCACTGTGTGGATGCCATACATATTGTGGAAATGTGACATAAAGCAGAATAATTGCTATGTATATTTATGGAAATATTAGGGGTTTGTGGGATAATAGTTCCCAGGATCCTGCAATCATTGTTGCCACCAACTCTTGTTGTTGTTGCCACCAACAACAAGAGTGAGGAAGGACTAGACAGAGGAATCCATATGGCAACTTTTCCTTGGGTTGACAGGACACAACAGAACACCATATTAGCCTAGGGCTACCAAAGCTGGTGAATGTGATCTGAAATCCAGAAGCCAATTTTGAATGAAGCATGGGATCCTAAGCCACAACAATGGCACAAAAAACAGTATCAAAGGCTACAAACACCCACAGAAGTGAGAGATCGAGAGGAACCAATGAGGAGATGAAGAAGGTTAGTTAAAAAGCCAATTGATGGAGTCAGACAGACATGCATGCCTTTGGTCTTCGGAATGCAATTTGGACAAATTCATAGAGCTACGGACATCTCCTTTTGAGAGAAGAATGGAAAATAGCAACAAAAGGACCAGTCTATTTGTAAACAGGATAACAGGATGGGAAAGGGCACTGGTAGAGAAGTGTCGCTGATGGAGGAATATACCCGAAAGCATACACTCCATACCAAACAATGACAAAAATATTTCCAAAGGGCCAGTCGAACAACCATGTATGCTACTAATGGACAGAAACAATTGGGGCGGGGAAGGGGAAGGGCACCAGCAAAGAATTGTGTGTGTGTCAGACACGAATATTCACCCGGCACAATGTGACTTTTAATTTATTTCTTTTTTCCTTCGCAGACTGTTAACACAACTGGGGTGCGGGTTGGTGGGCGGGCGATCTCTCGGTATACTCCTCTAAACTCTGTGCTTGGGAGGGGACACAGAGCTTTATGCCGGGAGAAGGGTGTCCATAAAACTCCTCTCCCTCTTCATCTGCACGGATTATTAATAACCTCTGACCATCCCTCGACCATCCCTCCACATTGGAAAAATCAAAATTGCCTTTCCTTTGATGGATGCATGGCGTCACAAAGGGCTTTCCACAGTAGGACACCTTCCAAGTGGGACTTCTAGTTCTCTCACTTACCTGGAAGGTGCCCAGTTGGAGAAAGCCAATGTAGCAGGAAGGGCAATGTTTGTATATTTCCATCATCCCCTGTCCTGGGGAGGCTTAAACTCTAGGAAGGGGACGGGGGATGGACGGGGGTGGCCTGTTGTATTTTGATGTTGAAATGCAAGTATTCTAATCTGCATGTTTTTATATGCTTATATTTGGGGGTGGGCAGGGAAAGGTGAGGGGTATATGGGGAGGGGGGAGGGGAATCGGAAACACGGAATGAGAGAGAGAGTTGAGACAGAGTGTGATGGTGCAAGATTCAACATGGAGGGTCGGAAATGGGTGGAATATTTGGGAGTTGAGGGAAGAGATGTTTGACGGGAAAATTGAGGGTCACTTGGAGATGGGAATGAGCTTCGGCCTGTTGGGATAGAATGGATGAATCAATAGCATAAACAAGCAGGATGGGAGGTTAGGAGAAGATGGGATAGGTCTAGATCCATGCAGAAATATCACAAATCTTCAGAGGTAGTTCAGAGGTAAATATTTGGGTCTCACATTAAGCAAAATTGAGAGACAGTTGAGCCTTTGTCACAAGGCGACTGCCCCTCTCAACAAACAAATCAAGGAAACCATCATAGTTTCACCTTATGGTCACTAGAACAGTGGTTCTCAACCTGGGGTCCCCAGATGTTTTTGGCCTTCAACTCTCAGAAATCCTAACAGCAGGTAAACTGGGAGTTGAAGGCCAAAAACATCTGGGCCCCCAGGTTGAGAACCACTGCATTAGAAGTTGGAAACAACTTGAAGGCATACAACAAATGCTACGTTGGAGATCAATGTATGGCAGTGGTTCTCAACCTGTGTGTCCCCAGGTGTTTTGGCCGACAACTCCCAGAAATCCTAGCCAATTTACCAGCTGTTAGGATTTCTGGGAGTTGAAACATCTGAGGACCCACAGATTGACAACCACTGGTGTATGGGAAATCTCTGAGTGGAGGTAGATCTCTAGCTGACTTTATTTGTCAACATGGAAGGTGGATCTGTTCCACACTTGAAACCACTCTGAGTAAACCTAACAATGTCAACATGGAGTTGTGGACCTATTCCACACTTGAAACCATCTGCGAGTAGAACAATCAGTTTGAGACATACTTGATTTGGGACTAACATTCCCAGAGTCCTCCAAAACCCCTGTAGTATGATTGGGAACCCATGAGCTGACTTTTCCAAGCTCCGGATCAAATGTGGGTGCATGATTTAATCCAGAGACCAGGAGAAAGGGGACCTTTGGCTGCCGTTGCCTCAAAGCTGCCTTGGCTCTGCTCCCCAACCTCTGATTCTACAAAATTGCCTTCGATTTTATCCTCATCTGTGTGCTTTAACCAACAGCCAGAGTTTGGGGAACAGGAGCAGAGGGGGCATCAAAAGCAGTGAAAAGTAGAATTTGGGAGGACGATCCTCTAGGAATACAATAATGGAGATTGTTTTGTGGAAAGAAGTTGGATTCATTGGGGGGAGAGGGATTTTACATTTACACATATCAGCTATTGAATGAAAACCACATAACCTATATCTTTGACATGATGCCTGATAAATGTTTTCATATTTGGGGGGCGGGGAAAGTTTTGGACCCTCACGA